CGTGCTGGGCTTTGGCTTTGTAATGAGAGGCTTTGTCAGAAAGGGCAGAAAACACCGAGCAGCCTTCAAAAACCAACGGCCCAGGGTGCTCGTGGGTGTTGGTGGCACGTGGATGGCAGGAGGGGACAGGGGTGGGGACAAAGCTCGTGCCCAGGGTCTGGAGCCGGGGGTGCTGCAGGGTAAGTGGGACCCAAACGTCAAAGCAAGGATTTACTGATTTTTTTTTGGGGGGGAAATAAATCCCCTAAAACTCAGCAGGTATGGGGATGGAGCTCTGTGCTCTGTACTTTGCAGGTTGTGGATTAACTGGGGCGGTCTGGGGAGAGTAGGGAGATGTGGGAGCGAGAGGGAAGCTCTGATGGCTCAGCAGGAATGCTTCTGCCAAGGGATGGCTTACCAGGTATTCAGTGGGTGAAACACATCTTGCATCCCCTAAACTCACCAGCAAATGATGGCTCTCTGGCTGTGAGTCAGCCCAGAGGTGGTGCTGGAGAAGATCCATCCCAGAGCGGCCTGAAGGACATCGGGCACTGCCGAGGGAAGGACCTGGTTTGATGAAGCAACAACCACCAACCCAAACTCCCTCTCTGAGACCTGCTGGAGGTTGCCCAGCTCTCAGCCACAGCTGCTGGTGCCACGAGTGGTTCTGTGGTGGCCCTGGGTCACCAGCACACGAGTTTTCTGTGCTCGTGGTGAGCAGAAGCGGCCGGAGCGGCCGATGGGATCCTCAGCACCAGCAGAGCCATCCCACGCTGCCTGTGCTCTTCAGATGGCTTAAAACCCAGAAAAATAACCTCAGATTGATCAAATGATTCACTGGAGGCTGCCCAGAAGCTGCTGGCAGACCCAGGACTCATTTTCAGGCCCCAGATCCTCCACCTTGTGGGCTCCTCCACAGTTTCTACCTCTCCCTGGGCTCCCACTGTTGGTGTTTTTCCACCCTGACCAGTGTGGAGGAAAACATTTGGAAGTCCATCCCTCTGTCCCAATCCCTCCAAGGATCTTCAGTCCCACTTAAAGTTTTCCACAGCTGAACTTTCTCTTTCCTGAACCTCTTTAATCACTTCTTCATCCAGTTCCATCTTGAATAAATTAACTGCAAGTGAATTTGCCTCGCAGGAGATTAAGTGTCCCACTGATTGAAAAGTCCTGTGAAAAGCAGAGTCGCCCCTGCGTTCCTCCCTAATCCCCACATTCCCTCATCTCCAGACATACCTTCCTCTCCTGAGGTCTTTTCATTTAATCAAAATACCTTAAGGCTCAAAATGAGCTTTAATCAAAATACCTTCAGGCTCAAAATGAGCTTTGCAACCTCCCCACAGCACACCCAGGGCGTGAGCGGAGCCAAGGGGGTCATTCCCTTCAAAAATTAGGAATTTGCTGGATGCAAAAAAGTGCTGGACAATTTGGCTTCTCCATCAGGATGCTTTCAAATGCTGCCTCAAAACCAGGGGAGGATGTTTTTCCAGGAGGTAGGATCCAGCCAAAGCTAATTTATCAGGTTCAGTACCAAGGTAAGTGATGGGAAAGAATGGCTGTGACACAGGGAATTCCACCAGGAAATGTTTGGACACTAAGAGGAAAAAAATACCCCAATAACTCAACAGGCCTGAATGTCTGTGATTTTAATCTGTGCACGTGTAACAAAGTCATTTTGAAAAGGTGCAAAAAGACGCAAATTGATCCTGGCACATCAATTTTGTCCAGAGAAGCTGTGGCTGCCCCATCCCTGGAATGTTCCAGGCCGGGTTGGACGGAGCTTGGAGCAACCCTGGGCTAGTGGGAGGTGTCCCTACCCATGGTAGGGGGTGGGACTGGATGGGATTTAAGGTCCCTTCCAACCCAAACCATTCCAGGATTTATTTCCTGATTCCCTGTTTGCTGTGAGCCTGCAGCAATGGACACAGCCATCCCATGCCATTCCCAGCCCAGGCAGGACACCAGGAAGCAGGACCCAGCACAGAGCACTTGAGCTCCTCTGGTATTTCCACCAACAGCCTGGTTTCCCGGGATGAAAGTTAAAAATATGTGCTCAGACATGTTGCTCTGAGCAGTCTGTGCTTTTCCCACTTAATCCCTCTTTTTATTTTTTTCCCTTTTGTTTTCCCCAAGAGCAGGGCATGAAAAGGAAGGCGAGGGAGGGCTTGTTTGCTTCTGGTTTGCTTTTAAAGCTTCTTTTCCGAGCCAAGACGTGACGTGAGGGCTCCTTGCAGAGCCAGGAGGGCTCATTGAAACGTCCCAGGGAGCGCCAGGGGGAAGTTTGGGATCACCCAAGGGGGTGAGGGATGTGTGGGGAAGGGGAGAGCTGGGATGGAGCAAGGAATGGCTCCCTGCTGCAGTGGGATGCTCCAGTTGGCTTGGGTTGTTTAGCTAATCTGGGTGTTTTAGGTGATTTGGGTGATTTCAGAGATTTGGGTGATTTGGGGTTATTTGGATGATTTGGATTATTTGGGTGATCTGGATGGTTTGGGTGCTTTGGGTGATCTGGAGTATTTGAGTATTTTGGGTTATTTGGGTGACTTGGGGTTATTTGGATGATTTGGATTATTTGGGTGATTTGGGTGATCTGTATTATTTGAGTATTTTGGGTTATTTGGGTGATCTCGATGGTTTGGGTGCTCTGGGTTCTTTGGGTGATTTGGGATATTTGAGTTGTCTGGGTGATTTGGATTATTTGAGTGATCTGGATTATCTGGGTGATTTGGGTGCTTTGGGTGATCTGGGTTTTTTGAGTATTTTGGGTTATTGGGGTGATTTTGGGTGATCTGGTTTATTTGAGTATTTTGGGTTACTGGGGTATAAATTTGGGATGTTGGGGTGATCTGGGTTATTTGGGTGATCTGGGTTATTTGGGTGTTCTGGGTCATTCCAGTATTTTGGGTTATTTGGGGCACTTGGGATGGGGGTTTTATTTCTTTATAAGGAAAAAGCCCCCATTTAAAGCCCAGGGCTGCAAACCACCGAGCACAGGCAGAGGCTGGAGCTGGTGAGTGGAGCAGCATCCCTGCAGCAGCACCTTCCAAACAGCTGGAAAAGCCTTTTCCCAGGCTGCCAAGTTTCCATGAGGGTTTGACAGCTTCAGCTAATGAATCATTCCAGTTGAACCAAAAAGGGAAACAATGCCATTGTCTCGGGGAGACGAGAATTCCGGTTTCGTGAGTCCACGGCCCCTTCGCCTTCATGGCCCAGGCTGGAAATATTTGGGCTCCCTTTGAGCTCCCAGGCCTGACAGAGCTGGAGATTTGGGGAATGGGTGGGTTGTCCTCAGCACCAGCTCGTGTTGTAAGGGACTCTTCAACCCTCTAACCACTGGTGTGCAGGAATGTTTGTTATGGGGTGGTGTGATAACATTAATCTGTGAATATTAACTAATGGGAAAGTCTCTGATGGGATTTCCTGCAGCTTTCCTTCCAGAAGTTCATGTGAAATCCCATTTCTGTTAAATTCTTCGGGAATGAAGAATTCCACAGTGAGAACATCACTCTCTGAGGGGTCTCAACCTTTATCCCTCTGCACCTTCAAGGTCTTTTTCTCTCCCTCTCCCACACCCTTCCTCATCCTCCACCTTCCCCCTCCTCTCTGGCCCCCAGCATTGGACACTGATGGTGGCACAGAGGCTGAGGGACACCAGCAAACCCTTGGGAGAAGGTGCCAGACTTCCCCTGGGTTCTGGATGCTGACAGCTCCAGATGGACACTGCCTTCTGCAATTAATCCCCTCATTAACACCAAGGCTGTAAGACAGGAAGTGTTTCCATGAGAATCCGTGGATTTTGGAGCTTTTCCTTTGGTGAGCAATTCCCTTTCATAGTGATGGAATAAAAGAATGAGTGTTTAGTGTCTTTGTAAAAAAATGACCATTTCTGGTCTAGCAGGGAACATCTGTGCTGGGCCAGTGGCTTTGCCAGCTGCTGGGAAGGGCTGTGTGGAACAAAAGAGGTCCTGTTTAATCTGGAGATCCACACTCGGACAGTTGAATCCACAGATAGGATTTTGAAAGCAAAGAAAAAAAAGGAAAAAAAAAAAAAAAGGCAGATTTATTTTGGGCCGACACATTGGGAGCAGAAGATGCCAATAACTCGTGGTTCTGGGTATTTTTGAACCAGCCTGGAAGGAATGGGCAAATTCCTCAGGTCCTGCTCCCTTCCTCCTTTGCTTTGCTGGTTTTGTGGTCAGGTCCAGAAGAAGAAAAAGTGAGAAAAATGTTTGTGATGTCCCAGATACGCCCAGGCTAGAGACCTGTGTCTTTGGTGGGTGCATGGATTTTTATCAGCTCTTATTTTAAAGAGCAGATTAATGCCCAACGTCCTCACCCACCCCTGGAGATCCAAATGTTTGGCTCTGGGTTCTTTGTAACAGCCCCAGGTTGGAGCAAATTCCCTCTGTCAGCTTTTTGGTGGGGAAAGTTCCTTGTGGGTCCCGCTGTGAGTGGCTGTAAGTGCTCTCCCAGCTCCTCTGGGTTCTGTTGGGCAGGACTTTGGACACATCCCTGTCCTGAAGGCACTCTTGGCATGGGGTGGGACGAGATGATCCTTGAGGCCCCTTCCATCCCAAACCATTCCTGGTTCCATGGAAAGGCTCCTCTGTGATCAGCAGTGAGAGGGGATGACGTGTCCCCCTGCCCAGGGCCGGTGCCCACGTGGACACCTCAGGGGATGCTGAGGGGTTTGGTGCCAGCCATGAGCTGCTGATGGGGGGCCCTGCTCCTTCCTGTGCTTCCAGGTGGTTTTGGAGGCCTCAATCCCTTCCAGGCATCTGTTCAGCCCCATTCCAGTGGATGGGCATTAAGTCCAGAGCTCCAGCTTGTTCCTGCCTGTTCCCATGGGAGGGGGAAATGGTACTTGCACTGAGCCAGGATGGGGGAACCTCAGTGTCCCCAGGGCAGGGACCCTCACCCTGCTGACACCCCCCAAACCACGAGCAGGGGATTTGGGCTGGGGGATCCTTTTTCCCAGGGGGTTTTCTCACCTTCTGGGCACTGACAGACCCCTCTTTCCCCAGGCTGGTGGTGGGAGCTCCCTACGAGACCAACGGCCAGCAGAAGACTGGAGATGTCTACAAGTGTCCAGTGACCAGCGACAGCCACAGCAACTGCACCAAACTCAACTTAGGTACAGCCCCAGGGGGTCCTTCCCATGCTCAAAAATCATGGGGTGATTTTTGTCAGGGGTTTGGGACTCGGTCTGCAAAGATAGACCCGGTTGTGTTGCCCTGAAAGTGTGAGATCTGAGTATTTGGGGAGGATTTTTAGATGAGGAGTTATTTGGGGAGTTTGTGTTGTTCCTGGTGTTGAGCTTTAAGCAGTGTCAGGGTAAAAATGAGCAAACTGGAATAGAGTAAAAAATGTTAGTTGTTTAATATAGCTTACACTGGTTTATTACATGATCAGGATAAACTTTTCAATGGATAATGGTCCCACAAGTATCTGTACTCCCTCCCCAGGGATGCTTGGACAATGTGCCCATCTCAGATGGCTCTCTGGGCACAGGCAAGTTTCGTTCCCAGGACCCAGCCTGCCCCCGTGGTGTTTTGGGAATTGTCACCCAGCCACACCACCCCTGGGCCCCATCAGCGCTGCTGCAGCAGGAGAGGCCCTGGGGGTGCTCCAGTCCCACTGACATCCCAATCCCACCTCCCTGGGTGAAGCAAGCGAGACCTTTCCCCGGGATTTCTCGGGCTGGTCCAGCACCAAAGGCACAATGTCGGGATTTTGGGACGTGCCGTCCCTGAGTCGGAGCAGACAAGTCCCCTTTTCTGCCCAGTTTGGGACACCCCACAGGCACATCTCTGTCTCAGCAGGGAATGTGAGAGCCAGGAACTTTCTCATGGTCCCGAGGAGCTTCACTGAGGTTTGGGGTAAGATCTGGGGTTTTTTTAACAGTGGAGCAGCTGGAGCAGCTACTGCTCTCACTTTATTTTTCATCATTATGGATCTCAACTGTCCTGGGTTTCTACCAGATCTGATAAGAGAGGAGGAACTTTGAATCATCTGCAACATTTGATTGATTGGCTCCAAATATTTCTTTTTTAACCATTGTTTTTTTTTCTCCTTTTTGTTTTCATTATTTGGGATGACACCGAGACTCTTCTAGGAAATACATCTCTTGTGTGTGTGAATTTGAATCCTGCTAAAAAGCAATCTCTCTTTTTTTTTTTTTTCCACTGGGAGGGAGCTCCAAATGACAAGACCAGTTCCATGAACACATCCTCTTTTCTTTTATTCCAAATCAACTTCTCTAGTGAGCACAATCCACCGGGGCCCTCTGAGTGGAACCAGATGGGAGCTGCCCTGAGGGGATGCCAAGCTGGAGGTGATGTGGGAGCAGGGATCTGCTCTTACCCTCCCTCCCTGAGGTGGCAGCAGGAGCAGGAACATCCTGGTGCCCAAGGTGTCACATCCAGTGGGGTGGCTGGGGGGATTTAAAAGCCCCATGGATGTGGCACTTGGGGACGTGGGTGAGTGGTGGCCTTGGCAGTGCTGGGGGATGGTTGGGCTGGTGGATGGTCTTGAAGGTCTTTTCCAACCCAAACAATTTTGTGATTCTACAAGACTTGCAAAGGCCACAAGCAATGAAACCAACCCCCAGTTTTACCATTAATTGCCTGATTTCCTCCTTCTTTTTGCCTTTGGACAAGGGCCTGGTGGGACAGGATACAGGGAATGGCTTCCCACATCCAGAGGGCAGGGTTAGGTGGGATATTGGGAAGGAATTCCTGGCTGGGAGGGTGGGCAGGCCCTGGCACAGGTTGGGCAGAGAAGCTGTGGCTACCCCTGGATCCCTGGAAGTGTCCAAGGCCAAGCTGGAACAACCTGGGCTAGTGGAAGGTGTCCCTGGGGGTGCAGTGAGATGGGTTTTGAGGTGATTCCAATCCAAACATTCCATGTTTCCATGATTCCCAGTTTACTTTTCAGGCAAAGCAGCAAAGGGGCAGCCCTGGACTGGGGGGACCTGCTTGTCCCAGAGCTCTGGGCAGAGGAGTGGCTGGATGAGGCAGTGTTTGGGTCCCAGCTCGGTGACACTGGAGGAACAGGGACACGGGGCTGCCCTGGGGCCATTCCCATCTCCTGGGCTCTGAGAGATGGATCAACCACTCAACACCTGCTGGCCTGGCAGTCCAGGAGGAGACTGAGACCCTCACAGGGGTTTCTACCTCAGCACTCTGCAGGGTGGTCCCTGACCGGCTCCTCTCTCCCCAGGCCGGGTGACGCTCTCCAACGTCTCGGAGAGGAAGGACAACATGCGCCTGGGGCTCAGCCTGGCCACCAACCCCAGGGACAGCAGCTTTCTGGTGAGGGACTGGGGGCCTTGGGGCAGCCTGGGAGGGGGGATTGCTGGGGGGGGTGTGTATGTCAGCATGGACAGGCAGCAGGATGCTCCTCTCTGTTTATATGTCTATATTTTATATGTATCTATAATAATAAGGAGCTGGTCTTCACTGATCCTTGTAGGTCCCTTCCAACTCAGGATATTCCATGGTTCTATTTTATGTATATGTGTGTATATATAGCATTTTATGTATTAATTATATGTGTTCTATTATAGATATATATATATTATATATGAATTTTGAATATACTATTATATATAAATAGAAAAATATATATGCACGATAGAATATACAGTCCATATACTTATATATAATTATATATTCAGTATATATTTTATATTATATATTAATTTTATATATCTTTTTATATATAGATATATATATAGAAATATATATTCATATATGTAATAGAATATAGAATTAGTATCTTTATATATATGTATTTATTAAATATATAATATAATATATAATATATATAATAATATATATACACCAAATAATATATGAATTGGGTATATTCTGTTATATATAAATAGAAGTATATATATGCATGATAGAATGCATAATTCATACATTGAAATATATTTATCTATTCGATATATATTTATATATAATATTTGAATTGGGTATATGCTATTATATATAAATAGAAGTATATATTTATATGTATAATAGAATATATAACATATCTTTATATATTTTATATTCATATACATTTATATAGATGTATAAGTACATTTATGTTCAGATTTTTATATATTTATGTGTGACATATAATTTTTATATTATATGTGAATTACATATATTCTATTATGTATAAAAATATAAATATACCCACACACATATATATATAAACTTATCTATATGCACAGACATATACACACACAGGTATATATTTATTTTGGACTCTCCATCCATGGAAGTGTCCAAGGCCAGGTTGGACAGGGTTTGGAGCAGCCTGGGCTGGTGGAAGGTTGCTCCAAGGGGGTGGAACGAGATGAGCTTTAAAGTCCCTTCCAACCCAAACCATCCCAAGATTCCACATTTCATGCACCAAAGAGTTCCAGAAAGATCACCTCCTATGGGGGCAAAGATGCTGAAGGAGGGGACAACCCATGAGTGACGAAGTGCCATTCTAACCCATCCCAATGTTTCCCCAGGCCTGCAGCCCCCTCTGGTCCCACGAGTGCGGGAGCTCCTACTACACCACGGGGATGTGCTCCCGCGTCAACTCCAACTTCAGGTTCTCCAAGACGGTGGCTCCGGCTCTGCAGAGTGAGAACCCCGTGCCCTGAGCCCTGAGCCCCGCTCTGGGGGCAGAGGGAGCCTCTGCTCCCTCATCCCTCCGGTGCCAGGCAGGAAACAAACAGTGCCAGTGTTGGAGACAGGCAGGAGAGCGGAGGAAGTGGCTGCAGGGAAGTGATTCCGAGGGGGTCACGTCCACAGACATCTGGGAAACATTTCCCTCCTGACTGACACCCAGGGAAGACCAAAAAAATACCTTTTTCTTCCAAAGCCAGGGATAAAAGTATCCAGAATATTTTATCAGAAGTCAAAATAGGGAAAGAATTCTGACTTGGCAGCGCAAAACAAAGCTCTCATTGACTGGAAGAGAAAGGGCTTGGCTCAAATTTGGACACTGAGAGACGTGATTTTATTTTTGAGATCTTGAAAAGGCTTCCCTGCCTTTCCTGAGGGTGGCAGGGATTGCAGAAGCCTGGCCTGCACTGCCAGGGCTCCTGGATGCTCCTTTTCCCAGCTAGGCACAGGATTTGATTCCCAAGCTCCATCACCCCTCTGGTGTGGATTAATTCCCATGGAATAGAGAGGGGGGCTTGGGAAAATGGGACTTTGGGGTTTGCAGTAGAGGCAGAGTCCACCACCAAATTTTCAGTGTCAGTTCCTCCTTTAGCCCTTCTGCAAAGGATAATTGGGATTTTAGGGAGGTTCAGAGGCTGTTATCGTTTAGTGAGTGGGATGTAGGGGGTCAGCTCCTTTCCCTGGCCTCCAGGGTGAGACTGGGATTGGGGTGGTGACACTCAGCTGAGGACCACAGGGATGGAGTGACCCACGGGTGGGTGACTCGAATCTGTTGATGCTCTAACCCGTGAAAGCCCTGAAAAAAAAAAGCAGCTGGCAAATATCTGTCACTGGGAAATTCAGCTTCATCTGCTTTTCTGCCCCTTTTCCAAGGGATGTTATAAAATGTAAGCAAAACAGAGACGATGCTGAGCAATTTTCCCCACTGAAAACCGCTCTGCTGCCTTAATCCTTCATGGCTCGTGCTGCACAGCCGAGCCCTGGGGTCCTCACTGGGGTTTTTTTGGCTGCCTCCTGACTGAGGATTTAGTGGGAAGGGAGGAAATGCCCGAGTGGTGCTGGCTGGGAGAGCAGGCAGGGCTGAGCAGTGACTCAGGAGCAAGGCACGGTCTGTGGGGAGAGCAGGGGCCGGATCCCGCTGCTCTTTGAAGTGTGGAATTCTGTTAGACCGGATAAAAGCCCCGAATCTGAATCAGAAAAGATGCCACTGGGTGTTATTCTTAGAAAGTGATCCCATTTTGCTCAGCAGAGAGGATTCTTGTGGCTTCTCTCCACCTTGCTGGAGCCCAGAGCTCTTTCTGAGTGATTGAAATCAGCTTTGTTTTCAAATAAATCGTCAGAGCAAGCACCTGGCTGGGAGTGAATCTGTAAATCTCCCCCTCACAAGCACCGCTGAGGTGTCTCAATAACACCCCGCATTTTCCACAGGATGCCAGACCTACATGGACATCATCATCGTTCTGGATGGATCCAACAGCATCTACCCCTGGGTTGAAGTCCAGCACTTCCTGATAAACATCTTGAAAAAGTTCTATATCGGTCCCGGCCAGATCCAAGTAAGACCCTGCACAACCTGTGTGTCCCCCCGTGTCACACAGAGCCCCCCAGCCCTGCTCATGGGGCTTCTCAGTGTCCCTTTTCGGGAAATGTGGCCTGATTTGGCACAAGATACGGGAGTGGTTAACTCATTCCGTGGATTTAATTCTCACACTGATGTCCCTGAATGAGATCACACCTCACACCCCAACGGGCACAACCCCATGGGAATACAGGCAGCATGTTGCCTCTGGGAAGAGCTCTCCATCCTCTCCCTATTAGCAATTGTGGGCTGATTTGGGCTGGGATTTGGACATGGGTTTGGGCTGGGATTTGGGCAGGGATATCCCCAACAATTTGCACAAATAACCCCAGTTTGGTCCCGCCAGAGGTGCTGTGGGTCCACACTGGGACATCACCCCAAACCTTCAGAGCAGGGCAGGGGGTGAGAGAAATAAAACTGAGCATTTTCAGTGGTCCCAGAGAGGGAAAACTGGAGCGAATGGGGACAGAAAGAAGGAATTTTAATGGTGGTGGTGTGTGTGGCTGACAAAGCTCATTGAGCGGGGGGTTGCTGGCATCCTTTGTGATATTCCCTTAATCCCCAGGTCGGAGTTGTTCAGTATGGAGAAGATGTTGTCCATGAGTTTCATTTAAATGACTACAGGTCTGTAAAAGACGTGGTGGCAGCTGCCAGTCACATAGAGCAGAGGGGAGGCACAGAGACCAGGACTGCCTATGGGATAGAGTTTGCTCGGTAAAAACCTCTCCCCTTCCTCTTCCACAACCTTTAAATCACCATTTCTTTGCCTTCCCTCCCCCCTGCCTTCGCTGTTCCTCGCTGCTTAGAAAGTGGGTGATGCCACGAGGCTAAAAATGCTTTTGCAGAGGGATTTGGTTCTCAGTTCAGGCTTTAAAATTGATGCTCCATAAAACTGCTACACCCGCAGTTGGAGCTGGAGCTGAAGGAGGGAGCAGAGGCAGACTCAGGAATTGGATCCCCTTTCTTAAAGCACCCAGAGCTGAGCTCTCAGCCCCCAGAATGCACCCCCAGGCACTGTAGGGTAGCCCAGAACTTGTTGCAGCCGTGACCCACAGCTCCATCTCCTCCTTTATCAGGGACAAGTCCCTGCTCCTGTTTTTTTTTTTGCCACATCCCAACCAGTTATTCCTGTAGCAAATTGCATGTCCCCAAGTGCCACATCCACGTGTTTGTTAAGTCCCTGCAGGGATGGGGACTCCACCAGTGCCCTGGGCAGCTGTGCCAGTGTCTGACCACCCTTTGGGTGAAGCAATTTTCCATAATACCCAACCTAAACCTCCCCTGGCACAACCTGAGGGCACCTCCCGCTGCCCGGTTTTGCCAAATTGAGGCCCCTCTCCTGCGAGAAACCGCCTCCACCCACGGAAAAATCCTCTCTTAACACCCTAAAACATTTGCTGGTGGTCCTGCCCCACCTGGGGGGGGGGGTTGCAGGTGGGCAGGGATGGCACCACGACCCTCCTGGCAGGGCTGAGCAGCCCAGGGCGTCTCTTCACTTGCAGCTCGGAAGCATTTCAGAAAGGTGGCCGGAAAGGGGCAAAGAGAGTAATGATTGTCATCACAGATGGAGAGTCCCACGACAGCCCAGACCTGGAGAAGGTGATCGAGGACAGCGAGAAGGACAATGTCACCAGATACGCGGTGGCGGTGAGTGGGGGGACAGGTGGGCAGGGGAATGGCCCCAAAAACCACGCAGGGGGTACCCTGTGAACCCCAACCCAACCTCTCCCAGTGTGTTGCCAGGGATCCCTGTTGCTGATGCTGCTTTTGCAGGGGGTTGGGATGCTCAGCTCTGGATTCAGCTGCTGGAGGGGGGGTCAGGGAAAGGCAGGACCCCGAATTGCACACAGGGTGTCCAGCCTGCAGGAACTGCAGCAGCTCCAGGGTTTGGCCCCACAATGGGATGGATATGTCAAGGATGGGGAATCCTTCCCTATGGCCACCCCTCAGGGGCTTTGGGATGGTTCTATCCATCATGTGAAAATTGCAGCTGTGGCTGCCCCATCCCTGCAAGTGTCCCAGGCCAGGCTGGACGGGGCTTGGAGCAACCTGGGATGGTGGGAGGTGTCCCTGCCCGTGGCAGGGGTGGGACTGGATGAGCTTTAAGATCCCTTCCAACCCAAACCATTCCAGGATTCTGTGAAACTCAAAGTATGGCCAACAACCTGGAATCAATCAGAATTCCAATAGGATTTTGAGTATCTCCAGGGATTATCAGGGCTTACAGACCCCTGTTCCTGGGGTGTCCCTGCCCATGCCAGAGTCTGGAACAAGACGAGATATAAGGTCCCTCCCAGCCCAAACCATCCTGGGGTTGATGATTCCGTGAAAACCCCTGAGCCCTGGATTTCTACCCCAACCCAGGTCCTGGGTTATTACAACAGAAGAGGAATCAACCCCGAAGCCTTTTTGAACGAGATCAAATTCATAGCGAGCGACCCCGACGACAAACACTTCTTCAATGTCACGGATGAAGCAGCACTCAAGGACATTGTGGATGCTCTGGGAGAGAGGATATTTAGCTTGGAAGGTGAGTGATGCTCCTCCCTGACACCTGCCAACCAACCCAGCCTGCAATTGTGCTGTTCATCTTCTCTGTGCTGAATTTGAACGAGTCCCATCGGGGGTTCCCTGAGATCTGTTCAATGCAGAACCTCCAGTCATACTGGGAATGGCTTCACATACGAAGAAATATCTTTAGTTTGAGTGGTTTGCATCCCTGGAGTGTCAGGAGCACAGATCCCTTCTCCTCCAAAGGATACCCTTCATTCTGGGCACGGCAGCTGTGGTGGCTTTGGTATTTATGGCAAACCTTGGAAATATGGGAATAATGTTGGGGTTTCTGGTTTATTGGCTGAAATTAAACACCAGGAAATATTTCTGTTCTAAATGTCAGCACCTCAGCCTGCCTTGTGACAAGTTTGTCGGTCTCCAAAACTATATTTGTCCAAATTTCATAGGGAAAGTGCAGCCTGGGATGAACAGCTGGAAGAGCAGATGGGAGGCTTGCACTGGAAATTAAACATCTTGGGGTTGGGGGAATTGGGGTCAAACCAGTTTGACCAGTTTGCCAAACTCTCCACCAGTTTGCCAGTCCAGCCAGCCTGATGCTTCCCTGTGGAAGAGTTTCCCTGGATGAGAACCTGGCACAGGTTTGCCCAGAGAAGCTGTGGTTGCCCCTGGACCCCTGGGAGTGTCCCAGGCCAGGTTGGACGGGGCTTGGAACAACCTGAGCCAGTGGAAGGTGTCCCTGCCCATGGCAGGGGGTGGCACTGGATGAGTTTTAAGGTCCCTTCCAACCCAAACCATTCCATGGTTCTGTGATTGGGGTTTGTGTCAGTTGAGCTCTTTGTGCTCAATCCCACCCCAACCCACCAAAGACACCCCCCCACCCCAAGGAAACAAAACTCCCCATTAAACACCAATTCCCTTTTGTTTTTTTAAGGAACCAACAAGAATGAGATCTCCTTTGGCCTGGAAATGTCCCAGACTGGATTTTCCTCACACGTTGTGGAAGTAAGAGAGTAAATGTGGGGTTTTGTTCCTCCTGCCTTGTGCTGGTTGTCACCACCCTCTGCAGCTGGGAGATGGGGATTTGGGGCAAAATAATAATAACTGTGATGTTCAATCACTCATGTGAGGCATAAGCTGCTCCTCCTGATGCCACAAATTCTTGGGAAGGACGTGCTGGGATGTGGAGGAAGGCACTTGGCAGTGCAGGGGGATGCTCAGCCCCCTCACCCCAAAGGCTCTGACTGGGCCCAAAGAAAAGCCAGCAGGGAATTCTGTCCAGGGCTTTTTCTAGGGAGGAAAAGCACTCTGAAAATTTATAACTAGGGTTGAAGTGTCCTTCCAGCCGGTCTGAAAACCTCCAGCTCTCCAGGTGTGCTTTAGGAATGGTTTCCTTGGTCTGGAGGGGAAGGGAGGGGGGGGGAATCGCCTCCACCTGGCAAGAAATCCCCTCAACCTCCCCCTGCTCTCCCACAGGACGGGATCCTCCTGGGGGCAGTGGGAGCCTACGACTGGAATGGAGCTGTCCTGAAGGAAACCAGCAGTGGGAAGGTCATTCCTCTGAGGGAATCTTATCTCCAGGAGTTCCCCGAGGAGCTGAAGAATCACGGGGCGTATTTAGGTAAGAACAGGGAAAGAGCTGCTGGAGGGGGAATTCAGGATTTTGTGCTTAATAATGGGAAGAGCAACATATTCCTGAGGTGTCTAATGCCAGAGTGGTTCTGTGCCTGGATCCCAGGGGTGTGAGGGCTCTGGGATGCAGCCCAGGAGCATCCTCACCCGGGAAGAGCCCGGCCCCCAGCCCGGTGAGCAGCACAAAAGGGATTTAAATTCGGGAACAGCTGAGCCAGAGCCAGCCCGGGTCATCCACAGAGCTTCCTGGAAAGGTTTAAAAGCAGAGATGGAATTTCATGCCTAGGGAGGAAATACCTGCTGGGTTAATCCGTTCCATGTGTGGCTGGAGTAAAAATATCAGCCTGGCTGGGAAAAGGAAACCTCTCTGCAGAGATGGGGCTGCCCTGCCAGTCCAGGGTGGGATGCTGGGGGGTCACCTGCCAGCACATCAGGACCCTTCCCTGGGATCACAAACTGCCTCTGGACATCCATGGGGTGACAGCAGAGTGTCCCCCAGGCTCGGCTGGGGGTCCCAGTTGTCTTCCAGGGGTGCCAATGGCAGTGTGGGGCAGCTCAGCTGGGCTCTGACTTTCGCACCAGCTGGAGTGAGAAATTTGGGAATATTAAGGAAATGCTGGTGTATCAGCACCTGGGGGTTTCAGAGCTGATGTTTGGCTTAAGAGTATCCACAAAAAAGCGGAATATTTAGGGAAACAGGGACCCCAGGTAAGGCCTGTGACCAGGAAAAGGGGTTTGTAAACCCCAATAATTCCTGAGGATACTCAAAATTCAACTGGATGTGATTCCAGGTGATCCCATCCAGTTTCATGGCTGGTCAAACTTTGAGTTTCATAGAATCCTGGAATGGTTTGGGTTGGAAGGGACCTGGAAGGATCCATGACCAGGACCACCTTCCACTATCCCAGGTTGCTCCAAGCCCCATCCAACCTGGCCTTGGACACTTCCAGGGGTCCAGGGACAGCCACAGCTTCTCTGGGCAACCTATTTCCCTTCTAATAGTTTAAGTAGCCTTTAAAACTGAGTGTGAAGGTTCAGAAACCTGGAGCTGGGGTGGAAAATCAGGATTTTGCATCAGCAAAGCCCTTTCCTGCCTGGCGTTCCTGGGACTCGCAGGATTGGGGTGGCAGAAGCTGCACTCCTGGCCCTCAGCACCCCACTGCTGTTTGACTTGATGTGAGCCATGAAATGAAACACTTTAAAGTCCAGGAATTGGATTCACCTTCGATGAAAGAGGGATTTACACGGGGTTTTCTGGGCAGTGCCAAAACTCCTGGCACGGCAGTGCTGCCCGAGGCCTGGGGGGAGCACCTGAGCAGGGGGGCCCAAAGCCACGGAAAAAATCTGCCTTTCCAAACTTCCCACTCCAGGGAGCGACCAGAGCTGTGTCACCAGCTGGGGGCTGATGGAAAGCAGGCCCTGGGAGCAGGAGCTGGTGGTTCTCACGCCGTGCCCACCCCCCTTGCAGGTTACACCGTCTCCTCTGTCGTTTCCACCAAGCACGAGCGGATTTACGTGGCGGGAGCTCCCAGGTTCAACCACACGGGGAAGGTCATCCTCTTCAGCATGCACAGCAACAGGAACCTCACCATCCACCAGGCCCTGAAAGGAGAGCAGGTAAATGCCAGCCAGGAATGCTGGCACTGATTTTATCCCCCTGGAAAAATCAACCCTTCATTCTGCAAGCTGTTTAGATGGCCCAACAGCCGAGGGTGTCCCGGCTGTCACTGTGCCCACAAACCGTGGGGCTGGAGCAGGGGCAGGGCTTGGGATGGCATTGCTCCCACCCTCTCCTGTCTCCTGCAGATCGGTTCCTACTACGGCAGCGAGATCAACTCCCTCGACGTCAACGGCGACGGCGTCACCGACGTGCTGCTGGTGGGAGCCCCCATGTACTTCAGCGAGGGCAGGGAGAGGGGCAAGGTCTATGTTTACACCCTGCAGGAGGTACGTGGCAGCACCAGGGGGTGATTTGGGACAGGGGACAGGGATTTGGGGCACTCTGATGGCAGCTGTGTCACCTCCCCCTTGGGCACCCGCCAGCTCCCATCAGACATCCCAGTTGGTGGAGCAGGAGGTGCAAAGGGAGGTCCTGCTGCTCCCAGACCCCACAGGGCTCAAAACAGGGTCTCTGCAACTTGGTGTCCCTCTGGAGAAACGTCTCCATCCACTTTACCTCCCACAAACATCTTCCCTCCTTGGGCACCCAGGGCGTGGGGTTCTGGGGAACAGCGAGATGGGTCTCTCTGCCACGGGGACGAGACATGTGCCACCCCTGTCCCCTTCACTGGTGCCCTGGGGCAGGAGCAGCTTTCCTGTCACCCTCTAATCTCACTCAAAATGCAGTTCCTGAGGCAAATCCATGAGGCTCTGGGAACACCTGGGCATTGAGCAGGTCGTGTTCTCCATCCAAGGGCGCAGAGCCCACCCCGAGCAGTGGAGTCCCTGTCACTCAACCACACATCTGCGGCAATTATTTATGTAGGATGTTACAAAAGGAAGGCAAAGCAGACATGGGGCTGCTGTGGGGTTCAGGGGCTCACCCCTGCCCAGGGAGGTGTCCCACAGGAATTCCCACAGCCCCAGCAGCGTTCCCACCTCCTTCCTTGGCGAAATTACTGCCACGTTGATTAACGTCACTGCCATATTCATTAGTTTATGCTTCTTTGAGGGGCTCCTCCTCTTGCCAGGCTGCTGCTGATGGTTTTTGGGGTTGTTTTGCTCCCTTTTCTCTCTGGCTGGCCTGGTAGAACCGCTTTGTTCCCAGTGGAGCCCTGGTGGACCTGCAGAGCTACCAGAACTCGCGCTTCGGCTCCTGCATCGCTGCCGTGCCCGACCTCAACCAGGACACCTACAACGACCTGGTGGTGGGGGCACCCTTGGAGGACGAGCACCAGGGAGCCATTTACATCTTCCTGGGCTTCCAAGAGACCATCCTCAAGAAGTACAAGCAGGTACTTCCTTTATCCTCATCCTTTATGCCATTTATGCCCATTTTAAGGACTGATAGAGCATGAGCAGCATTGAATTGTTAATTACTGTGGCCAGAGATTTCCTCTTCCGAGACATCCAAGACAAAGCATTGGAATTCAAGCCCTGGAAGCTGCTTCCCAGGGCAGTGGTGGAGTCACCATCCCTGTGGATGTGGCACCTGGGAACACGTGTTAGTGGTCGGCAGAGCTGAGGAAATGATTGGACTCAGTAACCTTAGAAGGCTTTTCAAACATAGATTATCCATGAATCTATAAAGTATGAAAAACAGGCTTGAAATTCGAGGTGATGCTCAGCACTCGTGCAAGGGATTGTTATAGGTTTATTTATTAATTATAAATAAATACATAAATAAAGAATTTATTGCTATTTACTCATTTCCCACACTTGTGAGAGACAGTAAATACGCAGAGTGAATTCAGCAAAAATCTCTGGGTGGTGCCTCCAAAGAGAAATTCTCCCATTCCCTGGGAATTTAGGGTTGGTGCAATCCCTTGGATTCTCCGGTAGCGTGGTGGAGGTTGGTGTGGCAGCCTCTCTGCAGGAAGGGATGTTCCAGCCTGGACTGTGCCCATTCCTTTTCAGAGGATTGCAGCTGCTGACCTCGCTCCAGGCCTGATGTATTTTGGGTGCAGCATCCACGGGCAGCTGGACCTGAACGAGGACGGGCTCGTGGACTTGGCCGTGGGCTCGCTGGGGAACGCGGTGCTGCTGTGGTGAGCTGGGCCCCCTCGGGCACCCTCTGCCCAAACCTCACTCCATGTTCTCATATTGTTCAAGGCAAAGCTGATTTCCCAACAATCTGACCCTTCTCTCCAGAATAACCTCCTGTCTGGTGGGAGGGGCTGTGGGATTTCCATCCTGTAGTGCCCTGGAAAGATGCCAGAGGGTTTGTTGTTTTGTTTTGTTGTTTGGGTTTTTTTTTTTTTTTGCACTGAATTTCATCATCTCCAGGAGTTCATCATTCTCCAGGAGTTCCCAACCAGCCAATTGATTGGTGGTGATTTGCCCAGGCTCCCTCTGGTCTTATTTTATAATAGCAATTGAATATTTTCAAGCATTGATTGGTGTTTGGAAAGTCCCTCGAAGCTGTTGAGACAGAGGGTGGCTGAGAGGGGCCATCCTGGGGTGCTGCGTGCCCACAAAGGGCCTTTGCTCCTCCTCAGCACCTTCCTGATGCTGGGCAAAAGGGTGAAAAGGTGTGAAAAGTGCAAACCTGGAGGTGTGGGGGACGTGTAGGGCGAGGGTGACGCCCCACAGCTCATCCCTCAACCTGCTGCGGTCCTGCAGGTCCCGCAGCGTTGTCCAGATCAACGCCAGCATCCGCTTCGAGCCCTCCAAGATCAACATCTTCACCAAGGACTGCAAGAGGAACGGGAAGGACGCCACCTGCATGTCGGCCTCCGTCTGCTTCACCGCCCTCTTCCTCTCCGCCCACTTCCAGACGGCCAGCGTGGGTAAGGGCACGGCTGTCCCGGGGCACCATCCCCGTCCACGCCTCGGGAAGGTCTCCAGCCCCAAGGCTGCCCGGGGGTGGGGTGGAGTCACCGTCCCTGGAGGTGTTTCAGGAGGGTCTGGACGTGGCTCTCGGTGCCATGATCTGCGTGACAAGGTCTTGGGTCAGAGGTTGGGCTCGAGGATCTCAGAGGTCTTTTCCCACCCAGGTGATCCTGTGAGTCTGTGACTCAAGACACTGGTGTGTGTGGAGCAGAGCACCTTCCACACAAGTTCCACAGACTATTCTGGGTTGGGAGGGACCCACAAGGATCACCAAGTCCAACGCTTAATTGAGTGGGATCAAACCCCTGGCCATGGTGGGAATAATGCCAAGGTCAATTATTACCAGCCACGACCAACTGAGCTCATCTGAGGGTCCTCCAGGAGCGTTTGGACACCACCTGCCACATCCCTTTCCACCCACTAATTTGTCCCTATCCAGGCTGAGGCAGCAGGGATGGTGGCTCTGCCAAGGAACACCCCAAGGATAAACCATCCCTGTGTTTAACCCCCTCTCTCCCCTATTCCCCTGAGCTTTGCTGTGCCGTGGGACGTGTGACAGGGGTGTCACCACAGGCAGGGCAGGAGGGGCCGTGCCCGGCCCACATCCCACAGAGCCCAT